TTAAATTCTGCCTCTGGTTACTATTTGTGTGACTTTGGGAAAGTCACTTAGCCTATCTAGGCCTCAGTTTCCTCAACTATAAAATGAAGAAGTTGAACCAGATAAATCTGTCAGCTCCCTTCCAACTCTAGAGTTATGAGCCTATGATCCAGTGCATATTTAACTCCCTTTTCTTTATTGCAACAGTTGGCATAGGCAACCTTGTTTCATGCCTTTTTATAAAGCTTCTGTTACTTCTCTGTTAAAAATAACGTATACTTTTGAGCATATTAGTGAAAACAACCTCTAGGCTGATTTGTCAGTAAATGTTGTAACAACAAAAGAATTCCTATGCTACTAATTTCCAAAGTAGGAGAGGATAAAAATGAAGAAAGCACATTATAAACCCAAATCATTAATGAACATTGAGGCAAAAGAAAAAAGAAATACCAGCAAAGAGATTGTGGCACTATATTTTTAAAAACATTTTCATATGACCTTTCATATTTAGGCCACATATTATCTATTTGGGGCTTACTGTTGGTTTGTAGTATAAAATGTTGGTCTAAATATAATTTCTGCCTGACTACTGACACGTTTTTGTCATTAGGAAATCCTTATGAAACACTAGACCACTATTCAGTTTCTTTTGCTTGACTAACCTAGTTAGTCTCTCTCAGTTACCAGCTTTTCTGTTTTTTGAAATAGTTTTGATTGCTGCCTTATGGTATAACTTGAGATCTAGTGATGCTACATCTCTTTCATTGCTATATTTTTCTTTGTTTCCCATGAGATTCTTCACCTTTTGCCTCCAGATGAATTTAAGTGCAGCCCATTCATGAACAATGAAGAACTTTCTGATTTTTAACGTAGGGGAGACCAAGGTCGGCAAATCTCTTGAGCTTAGCAGTTCAGAGCTTCAGTTGGCTGGGCCAGTCAGTTGTCCACACCAAATCTCAATTGAACTTGTTTGGGAATTTTTTTTTTGGGGGGGGGGCTAGGCAATGGGGTCAAGTGACTTGCCCAGGGTCACACAGCTAGTTAAGTGTTAATGTATCTGAGGCTGGATTTGAACTCAGGTCCTACTGAATCCAGGACCGGTGCTCTATGCACTGCACCACCTAGCTGCCCCTGTTTGGGAATTATTAATCTGTTTTCCATTAGGATATTAATGGGGTTTTTGTTGGTTTTTTGTGATGTTACTCAGGGTTTATTGTGATTCTGTGCTGGGCACCTTCCCACACTCTTCTGAACAAAAAAAGTATTTGCTATCTAGATGTAAGATTTCTGTCTTATCCATAAGCCTCTTCCACATGTCCATATTTGTAATGAAGTCCGTGAGTATTAAAGTATATTGACTTACCTCTTTTGAGTAGGGAAGTGAAGAATTAAGAGTGTGTCATGTTGTCTACACTGTCAAATACAAAAAACCCTGATTATATCTTGACAGACAGGAAACAACTGGTTATTGATAGAGGGGTAAAGAAAAAGTTGACTGAAACAAAAGACAGATATCAAGACACAAATTATAGGTGACTGTGAAGTTACCTGTCAACTTGACAAATTCAACAATCCCTTAATGTCCTAATTGGTGAGTGTGTTGCATGGCCAGCTAGAAGGCCCTAGCCATGCTTCCTTTTCTACCCTGGCCATTTTCTTGCCATCTTCCCTGCCTGCTGTACCCTGAGCTTCACCTCACTTTCCAGATCTGGACTGTAATAAATTCAGTACTACTATCTTTACTGGAATGAAATGTCAACCAGTTCCCACATAGATCTACTCATCATTGTTTCCTAACCAAATTCCCTAACCAAAATATCCCACCCTGGCAGCCACTGCCCTGTGTATGTTGTGTACCCTATTAGAATACAAACTTAAGTGTAGGATTCCTTTTTTGTATTTGCATCCTCAGTACTTAACTACAGTGAGCTTGGGAGAAGATGAGTGATTACTAGTGCTCCTTCATTCATTTATTCATTTAAAAGATATTAAGACTGCTAAATGGGATTCTTAGAGAAAATACCTATTTTAAAGCTTCCATGGAACTTAAGAAAAACTGATCATGTATTAAAGACAAAAGTAATCAAATCCAGAAAGACAGAATCATAAACAGACCACAAAACATTAAAAATTATGATCAGTAGAAGAAATATGAACAAAAGATGAGGACCTAAAACAACACCCTAAATAAAGATTAAGTCAAAGGCTGAACCAAATAATAAAAACAGATTGCAGAGTAGTTTTGCTTAACTGTTACTCTTTGTAACAAGAGGATTCAATGTTGGGAAGGTGGTTTATATTGGAAAGTGACTGTGCTGTAAAAGGAATCACCAACAAAACTTAAACATTAAATATATGTTCATTTAACTTGGAAGATCTTAGTTCTTCGTAGAATTTCTCTATCTCCTCATCCTCTGCACCTGTACAGAAGCTTCATTTATTTTTTCTAGTGGTCTCTTTACAAATTCTTCTCATGAATAACTGCAATACAAGATGACCAAGTATCCAATGAAATGGTGTTTCTTGTTGCCTTTGTACACATAATAAACCCAACTGACTCTGAGGAAGGTCATTCCACTTAGCTGCAACATCTTTCTAGTAGCGTTGTAGAGAGTGTCAATATTGATGTGAATCAGTTCAGAAGTATGTCTACCACATGGTCACTGGAGTAGAATCTCACCCTTAAAATATCTAAGTTAACATTTGTAGATAGTCTAAAAACTAGACAGTTCTTAGCACTCTCAAACCCCCTTTCTCCAAGAGGACTGCCCAGGACCACAGCCATCTCTTATTTTTGTTTCATGGGTTGTCATACTCAAGAGGAATTCATCGCCTAATGATAATACCAACCTACTGATAATAAGCTGCTCCATACACAGTCAGGTGGGTCCTTAGAAAGTAGACGTAGCCTGTTGCCGAAACCATATTTGAAACCTTTCCAGCCTGGGTAGGACGTGCCAAAGCATGCAGTCTGCTTACATAACCTTTGAGAAGCTAGGGCATCCTTGTGCCACAGTGAGTCATCAGACTTTATAGGGAGCTAGAAATCCTTAAGGAGCCTATGAAAGAGCTGCTGAAAGCTCTTTCATAGAGTCCTGAGCTACCTTTAAATGATGTGGTATCCTGATATAAACCTCAGTTCCTATAATCTTACTTTTGCTTACCTATTGAGTATGCCTGTGATTTGACCCAGATCTAACTTTATTGTAGATCCACTTGAGCATCTTAAGGTTGTGTTTTTCCCCAAATGGTGGAATGAGTCAAAACTCCCAAAAGTGTACCATAAATGTTATTTTTAAATATATATATATATACATACACATATTTACATATATAAATTTATCTTGCATTATCACACCCTGTGCTGTACCTGTAGTATAAGCATACAGTCGGTGTGCCTAAGCTGGTATGTACTGCTGCTGCTACCTGAATTTGTCCAAGTCTACCTAATTATCTGTTCACCAAAATGGCCTTAGGCTCTGCTTGGCATGGATGGTCTGAAGGTATCTATATTATAGAGCTGGCAGTCAGTTATCTTGATTTCTCTTTTCTACTCCATCACTAATTTACATTTATCTGTTCTCTTCTGATTTGCCATATACGTAAATGACAAAGATTGCCGTATCATCTGGCTGCCTAGGCCTTGGTGAAATAATGGATAGTTTCAGTGGATTATCCAAATGTCCTAGAGCTTAGGACCAGGATCTTTAATAATTCCTTAAATATTCACCCTTAAAACAAACTCAGCCTCTACCTACTGTCTCCAGAGGACAGTTGCTTCATGGCACAAAATGAGTGTTATAGCTGAGCTGCATATTGGCTCCATATGCCTTGGCCTTCATATTTTTATACACATTGTAGATAGTATCTCTATGTGTTATTCATTTGATCAGTAAACATTAAGCACTGACTATGTTTTAGCCAAGTGTTGGGTATATAAAGAAAGGCAAAAGACAGTTTCCTGCCCTCAAGGAGCTCACAGTCTAATGGGGGAAACAACACATAAAAAGCTCAAAAGTGGGGAGGGGAGGAAGGAATGGGGTGAATAATGAAGCTAGGTAGGAAATAATTAGATGAATGCCCTGGGAGCCCTCCCTAAATGGAGAATCTGGGAGAAGTGGAATGACCTTCCTCAGAGTCAGTCGGGTTTATTATGTGTACAAAGGCAACAAGAAACACCATTTCATTGGATACTTGATCATCTTGTATTGCAGTTATTCATGAGAAGCACTTGTAAAGAGACTACTCGAGTCGGGGCGGGGGGGGGAGGGAAAGGGTCTCAGGGGCAGAGATTATTAACAAATGTGACTTTCAGGATTGATGTGATTTGTAGGATGTTGGGTTTCTGGAGACCACCAGGATTGCAGGGGCAGGGATGGTTTGTTCCTTAAAACAACAACAAAAAAAGTTTCCTTTCTATTATATGTATAATCATCAGTGCCAAGAGATGGGTTTTTCCCACACACACATTTAACTAGTATGACTTGTACCACCATGATATATGAAACTCTGCTGTAAGGTGTAATAATGTAGGATAAAGTTTGTGAAAAAAATTAAAGAAGCAACCTTAAGATACTCAAATGGATATACATGAAACCTTTCTCAAGGTTGATAACACTCTGAAATTAACTCTTCTCTGCTAAAACTTTTTATAGAAAAAAATTTGTTTCTGGGGTCTTGTTTCTTTTATTTTCCTTTCTCTCTGTCTCTCTCTCTTTCTCTCTCTCTCTCTGGCTAGGCAGTGGGGTTAAGTGACTTGCCCAGGATCACACAGCTAGTGTCATGTCTTGAGGCCAAATTTGAACTCAGGTCCATCCTCCTGACTCTAGGGCCAGTGTTCTATCCACTGCACCACATAGCTGTCCCTGGGGTCTTGTTTCTGACCTCATCATCAATATATGCATAATACTAGTTTTTCTTTTGTGCTAGTTGTATCATGCCAGAGAAGCTTACCTAGCAAAACTTTGGGATAGTCACTGGATAGCTGGGGTGGTAATCTTTTCATCTCTTCTTCTCTCCAGGATACCCCTTTGCCTTGTTTTATCGACAGTTCCTTTTCTACAAGGATTGCTACCTCATCCATCTCTTCCACATTGTTACGGGCCTCTCAATTGCCTATTTTAACTTTGGTAAGTGTCCTTATTTGTAAAATACTCCCTCATAATAGGAATTTAGGAAATGAAAGAGGGATATAAACACAGTCACTTTAAAGAGGCTCTGGTGGATGAGGAAATATTTTCTTGAGAAGCGGGTTTGTGTAGAGGGGAATACTGATTCCTCTTTTTGCCTCAAAATGGCTAACCATCCCGTTTTTTTTCCCTCCAGTGTTTCCCAGAAAAGAATGCTGAGTGGTTTGTTTCCCTCAGCTTTACCCCATCAACAGAAATAGAAGTTTGATCCCCCTTTGGCCCTAAAGAAACCTGTGACTGGGAGACTCAGCTCTGAATCCCCGTCAGAGTTCTTCCTTTAATACAGCCAGCTTTCAGTTTTTACCTCAAAACTGAGGCCAGAGATCATTCCATCTGTGTGAGCAGACTAAAATCAGGTCCTCTGGTCCCAAACCTTTTTTCCAGTTGGCAAGTAGAGTCAAAAGAAGCGAACTTGGAATTGTATAACTAACATCAGAAAGAAGCAACCCAAGCTTGACCATGGGACCTTCCTTAAAGTGGTCATCTACACTACAGGCCAGATCCTCAGCGGCTCCGTTCTCAGTAACTAACAAATGACCTCACTGAGCTGCCAGTCTTTTACAGAAATAATGTTCTAGCTAACCCAAATCCCTCATGAGGCCAAAGGGAAATCAAAAATAACACTCTGAAACTGAATCCAGTATCAGAATGATTTTGTTCCCTAATAGCTTCTCAGATTCAGATTTTCAGGATGGGTATGAAACCTGCAGAATCATTCCAGAATTCATGTTTTCTTACCTCCATTTAGGAAACCAGCTCTACCACTCTCTGATATGTGTGGTGCTACAGTTCCTCATTCTTCGGCTGATGGGCCGCACTGTTACTGCTGTCTTGACCACCTTCTTCTTCCAGATGGTAATTAAGTTTCCCTTTTCATTCCACAGCTCTCACTTAATGGGCTCCCAGGAAAGAGGGTGTGGTGGTACATTGCACTAGGAAGGAAAGACCTGGATTCCTCTTTCTGCCTATATTAGGTGTTACTTTGAACAAGTCACTTCACCTCTGTGATATTCAGATGTAAAGAGGGAAGATAATACTGCATTTCCCTGAAGGCAGGGAAACTATGTTTCCTGGAGTCCCCTTGGAACTTTACATAGAATTCTGTAACTGGATCAGTTACAGGAAAGAAACACATTCTTGCTCTCGATCGGAGAGTAGGGGAAAATGGGACAGCAGAAGCTAAAGATCTGAGCTTTGATTAAAATCCAGTCATTGGCTTATTAGGCTTCAGTTTTCCTATTTATTACACAACAGATAAATTCAACGTGGTAGTGATAATGAATTACCGTTCCCTTTGGCAGGTCTACCTTCTTGCTGGTTACTTTTACACAGCCACCGACACTTATGACATCAAATGGACAATGCCACACTGCGTCCTGACCTTGAAATTGATTGGTAAGTGATAATGGCTTCAGTTCTTTTTGTCCATTTCCTGCACCTGTATTAGGCTCCTTCCCTATCAGCCAACAGGATTCTCCTATTTTCTCCCCCACCTTAGGATTATGCAGTTCCCATCCACACTCAGTCCCTGAGCTACACACCCAGTGCTTCCCCCTCCCCCTCCGCTTTACCCCACCTTCTTTCTCCGCCCAGGTCTGGCTGTTGACTACTATGATGGAGGGAAAGATTGGGTAAGTAAACATACATTCCACAGGGAGATTGAGGAAACAACCATCGGGAGGGGAAAAGGCTGACGTCACCAAGATGTGTACCCCAAGCCCCAGGAGCAGGATATCCTCCTCAGCCTGGGTTATCACCCTGCTCCAGATAGCAGGCATCAGCAGATCTTATTTGCTAAGGTTCAAGGTCTTGACAGAAGTCCAGAGATCACTTGACAACAGGGCACCTGGGAGAGAAAAAAAGAGCTAGCTATTTCTAAGCTCTCCCCAAACATGCTTACACACATACAAAGTGACTTGCACTAGGATCTCTCCCTGTTGAAGTGGATGCTTTGGAATCCTAGAGAAATGGGACTCAGAAGGGAGATCAGTCAAACCGTTTTGTGGGGAGAGTCACAAGGCTATTCCTGAAACACCCATTCTTTCCTTTGGCACAGAATTCCCTGTCCATTGAGCAGCAAAAATATGCCATTTTGAGAGTCCCTTCCCTGATGGAAATCGCTGGTTTCTCCTACTTTTATGGGGGCTTTTTGGTGGGGCCCCAGTTCTCCATGAACAACTACATGAAGCTGGTGCAGGGACAGATGACTGATATACCAGGGAAGAAATCTAACAGGTAATCATATCTCTAGAGATCTTGGCCAAGAAATCTATCTTACCCTTCTAGGATTGCAGCCACTTCTGTTATGGGGACCCTCCTAATGGAGAGCACTGGAAAACATGGCCCTGTATCACCCAACCCCTAGACTGTCAAAACAGGCCATCAATAAAGATGTGCCCCAAGGTGTTCCACTTGGCTTGTGTAGCTTGTGGTGATCCAGTGAATCAAATGCAAATGTTTTTCATACACCTTGTACGAACTTGAAGTTGGTCCTTCTCACAAAGGTCTGCACCTCATGCCCCGGTTTTTCTTTAAACAAACATTCCTTGAACTAGCAGATTGAGTATAATTAGAAATGTCCCATTGCTGACAGCTTGGACAATTAAGCCAACATTTGAAGCTTTTCACTTGTATAAGGATTGCTGAGGTTAATCAGCTAATATTTGAGTGTCTCTAGTGGGTTCTTAAAGCTATGTCTTCTCCTGTTGAGTCTTTTAGATATCAGTAGTATCCCTGAAGGAAGAGAAATCAATTGGGAAGATGTATCTATAAGTACCTGTGTACGTATAAGTACCTATAATGAGCCAAGCACTTTGCTTTAACATCTCAAAGGCTCTGCTCCCTCTAACGCCTGTAGGTTCAGTGTCTCTTATGTTCATCCAAATCTTGTATGGAAAACATATTTCTCACAACTGAGCACTTTGGGAAGCATCTTACCTATTCCAGCTGGGTGGTTAAGGCTCTAGATAACCTCTCCACATTTTAAATTAGAAGGGTGAAGATATATATAATCTGACTTAATTTCTCCCCTTCAGTATTCTACCTGCTCTCAAGCGTCTGAGTTTGGGCCTCTTCTACCTGGTGGGCTATACTCTGCTCAGTCCCTATATCACAGACGAGTATCTCCTCTCCCAGGACTATGAAGTGAGTAGTTACCGAAACTAAGTGTCTCTGGTGTCTGATTAGCCAGCCAGGCCTTATTTTGTTTCTCAGCCAACACTGAAGACCCAGCAGGTACAGAGCATTTCCCATGGGTGCTATGTGGCCTTCTTGGCGCACCTTACCTCGTTCTGGGACAATGAGTGGCTTATGTCAGGGCCAAGCTGTCCTTGGAACTTTCTGTCCACATCCAGGTCATGGTTCAAAGCTCAGCTACTTACTTCCGGGGAAGTCCTCTTTCTGTGCTTTGATGGTTGTCTAATGTGGGGCTTCTGTGGAGGTCAGATGGCAGTCCATCTAACCTTCCAGAAAACCTGAGCATGTTCTTTTTTCCTTCTTTCTGATAAGTGCTCAGAAGCACACAGGGAACTAATAATTACTTGACAAGTGTGAGAGACTTGACTGACTGAGACAGGTTAGAGTCCAATGCTAATAATCCCCAGGATTTCCAAGGAGGAAGTGGAAGATAAAAGTTCTGGTCTCCTCTCTACCTTCCTATTAATGAGGGAATAAAGCTATATTGAACTGTCAACTGAGAAACTAGGGGGAAAAAAAATCACCAAGTTTGAGGGGAAGACAGGCAGGTCAGTCAAGAGCACAAGCATTAGGTGTTTACCCGGGGGGTTGCCCAGACTCGGTGGTGTCCTTAATTCCCTGTTTTCTTTCTCTCCTCAAAGAACCGCCCCTTCTGGTTCCGCTGCCTGTACATGCTAGTTTGGGGCAAGTTTGTGCTCTACAAATACGTCACTTGTTGGCTGGTCACGGTGAGTAGAAGAGAGGCAAAGGGAAGAAACCCTACCTGGGAGTAAGTTAGAAGCTCTTTGTACCTGTAGTTGTACCCCTGACTCAGTTCTTCCTTCCTTCAGGAAGGAGTGTGCATTCTGACTGGGCTGGGCTTCAATGGATTGGACGAGAAGGGACATCCACTGTGGAATGCTTGTGCCAATATGAAAATATGGCTATTTGAGACCAATCCCCGATTCACTGGCACCATTGCCTCCTTCAACATCAACACCAATGCCTGGGTGGCCCAGTAAGCAACTGGAAGTATTAGCACAGAAGCGCCTTTTCTCATTACCCGGGATGTGGAGGCAGGGGCATATCCAATGTCACCACTTATCATCTCCTTTTGGGCAGACTCAGAACCTTACTAGGCCTTGCCTGAAAACTGAGCTATATCTCTATTTGTGTGACCCTGGAGGGTGATGTCAGAGGCAGTATGACTTCCTGCAGTGAGTTCCAGTCTGGAGGTCACAGTTGGCTTCGTGCTCAGCTCTGGAACAAACTAGTGATGTGGCCCCCACCCCCGTTCCTTCTGTCCCTTACCAGCATCGATCAAAAGAGCTAGCAGCCAGCCCAGTTCTTCCTGGGAAATGAGGGAGGACAGAGCAGAGGGTGCAGGGAGAAAAGTCCTAGTTTGCCTAGGACTCATGCATTTCCCTTCCTATCTCCAGCTACGTCTTCAAGAGGCTCAAGTTCCTTGGGAATAAAGTGGTGTCCCAGGGCCTGTCCCTGCTTTTCTTGGCCCTGTGGCATGGGCTGCACTCAGGCTACCTGATCTGCTTCCAGATGGAGTTCCTGATCGTTATTGTGGAGAGACAGGTGGGGAACACAACTGTTCCTGGAAGAGTGAGTAGCAGTGAGGGCCAGGTGCTGATTACGCATCCCTGTCTGTCCCTTCCAGGCTGCCAGCCTAATTACAGAGAGCCCAGTCTTGAGCAAGCTGGCATCCATCACTGTCCTGAAGCCCGTCTTCTACCTAGTGCAGCAAACCATTCACTGGCTATTCATGGGTTATTCTATGACTGCCTTTTGCCTTTTTACATGGGATAAATGGCTCAAAGTAAGTTGTAAGGTGGATTAAGGGGGACTGTCTGTTGGGATTGAGAGAATAACTAAAAACCAGGACATGGAACCTCAAGGATTATATCATACCCTCAGCCTCAATGATCTGCATCTCCCCACAGGTCTACAAGTCTATCTATTTTCTTGGCCATGTCTTCTTCCTGAGCCTCCTATTCATATTGCCTTATGTTCACAAAATAATGGTGCCAAGGAAAGAAAAATTAAAGAAAGCAGAGTAACCTGCTTCCGTGGTAAGTGAGCCTGAGGCTACATGTTTGGCAGGGATGACTAGAGGAGAGCTTGGGCGGTAGGGATTGGCGGATGGTTCTGGTCAGCCCTCTTTTCTCTTCTCTTGCAGGTGGCCTACAATGGGACTGGTACAGGAGCTATTGCCTCCCTTTTTATGGGACTCCTTTGCCCTGAGAACATGCAGAAGATAGAAGCAAGGACTGTGAAGGCACGTCAGCTCCAACAGATCTCCTTTGCCAGCTAAAGGGAAAGAAACCCTGGGGGAATGTGGAGGGACCCATCTCACTTGGGCTCCCCCACATACACTGCCTTATCTCTCCCCTTCCAGCTGGGAATCTGTTTTCTTTTCTGCTGATTTACTATGATTATACATGTGCCGATACCACAACCGCCTCCCAATGGAAGGGAAGGGACACTGGTTCTACCTGCTTCATTTTTCTACCTTGGAATTGTACCAGATAAAACCACTTCTGTTTGTTCAGTTTTTCATCTAGTGCACCTGGCTGCCTTTCTTTTTTCCCCCAGTCAAGAGCTTTCCTAAGAACATTCTACTATGTCCTTTCCATCTCCCATTTACCATATTGTCCCAGGGGTTCTAGGACTAAGTATCCCATGGATTCATCCTCTCTTTGCAGTTTAAATAGGGTACAAAAGATTGGGACTGCCAGGTAAGTGTAAGAATTCTCCTTGAACAATCCTGTTTGTTTAAAAAAAATTTATATGGAAAATTTATATATGAAAAAGAACAGTCTAAATGGCCCTCCGTACAGTAGGATCCTGTAAACAGGACTGTCCAGCAGTCAGTTCCATGGCTTTCAAGATGTGATGTCTTGAAATGTAAGGGAGCTAGGTCTTCCACTGTTAAATGACACCCCACGCTTCCTCAAAGGCTGTGGTAAGTTTGGCACAGGTAAGGGCAGCAGAAAGGGGATAGTTGCTGATGGATACCATCTTCTCTGTGTAATCTACGTTGATCTAGGCAATGGGGAAAAAAAAAGTGTTATACAGAAAAGAGAACTATATCCTGCCAGGAAGGGAGTAACTGGAGTCAGTTAGTATTTCAGGACAGAGTTGCTGACGAGGAAAGGATAAACTTATGTTACTCAAAATATCTTGGGTTAAAAAGCAGCATCCAAGCTTGGTCTATTCTATAATTCTTGGTCAATTCCATAACTGCAAAAAAGCATAGAAACAATACTTTCTTTCATATTGTATATCAAACTACACCCCAAAAAGAAAGATACTGTGCCATTTAATGCCAGTCCCCAAAGCACCTCTTACCGAACCATGGGCAAAGGCCCCCACAACAAAGACGATAGGGTCACTACTGGGAACCAGCTCTTTAATATCACTGACAACAGGGACAGAAAAGGAGGTGCCAATCTTCATACAGCCCGCAGGAAAATGGTCCGACACAGGATTCTTGATCACCTAAGGAGAAGAGATGATGAATTCAGTCTAAGAAACAAGTCCATGGATTCCCCCAGACTTCCCTTCCTTCTCCTCTCCCCTTAAACCACTAATGATCAAGTCCTTACCTTCAACAGCTTCTGGGGGCCATCAGCTGCTCGAACGCTGAGTTTGTGCAGGAGCTGAACTATTAGAAGAAAGGAGAGTTCAAAGCCAGAACAAGGGTTTGCTTCCTCATCTTAGTAGTTTCAACCCCTGAGCCCCCTGCGCACCACTCTGTAACCAAGAGCACCAGACCTTACTTTCCAACAAGTGCTAGTCAGACTCTGAAAGGCTCTGTTCCTGTCTGTCGTGCAATCAAGTCTGTAACTGAATAAACAGAGCCTAGAAGGGAAAGCACTTTGTTTCTGCTCACATGGAATGGTGCGGTGATTACTATACCCATTGTTTTCACCAGGTCCCAAACTATCACACCAGCTCTTCTCTTAACCCCTGCTAAGTTCCTCTTGAATTGTCTCAAAGAGGACAAATGGCTTGACTCTCACCCATAAGACCACAGAAGCGATCAAAGGTCCGAGGAATCCGAGTCTGGGGGTTCACTTCAATCAGGACATTTTTTTGAGTATGGATATAAACCTGGAGCAAGCCAGCACGATTCAAGGGACTGTCCATCAGCATCAACAAGCTCTGGGGAAAATAGGAATCAAGACCGGTGAGGACAGAGAGAAGTAGCTTCATTTGCCATGTAAAGTCTCGAAGCATGTACAGGCCTCTCCCTGAAGCTACCTGGTGAGCTATGTCAGGTCTCACTTCTCCAGGGTCCCGTCCATTTTTCAAGAGTATAGATTTGTGTTTGTCACAGTTGAGCAGCTCATAGGTTTTCCCTACCTGGGAAGAAAAAAGAGAAAGCAGTAAAGTTTGCATTTTTTTTTTCAAAAAGGATGGAGCACCTACTGTGTGTACAAAGATAGCTCTAAATCTAATTATTTGAATTTGGCCCTATGTATATTTGGGGTAGGCTATCTAGAAATCTACAGAGTAACTGAGTTCATGCATTCCAAGCTTTTTTCCCTAGTTCAAACATCTACAACTGAAAAATTCACTCACTAAAACTGTAGATAAATAGGGTTTTGAGAAATCTGACAAATTATTTTAAGTAATTGCACATGTGAAGTGAAACACTACATGAAACACTACTGGAGCAAAAATCCCCAAAGTGGAGAGCACAATTGCTGTTTTCAGTGTGAGGATATAGTTTTATAACAGACATGAGTAATATAATTATGAATAATTACAACAGAAAGGAGTGAAGATGAACATGAATTTTAAAAAGAAGTGTGCTGACTAGGTAAAGGTTACTGGAATAGGAAATAAGGGTAATAGGAGTAATGGGAGACGGAGTAGAAAAAGTGGGAATGAAAGCAACTGAGGATGAAGGGCCTTGTTATAAAATGCTAATAAAAGAACATAAAGACTTAGTTGGAGAGGAGCACGCTAAATGTTGTGGCAGGTATGTAGCAGACAACTGAAAACAAACAAACTGTGCGGAAGTTTCTATAATCTTGGGAGGCAGTGTGATACAATGGAAAATATCCCAGTTCTGCCACTCTGTATTACATGTCCTTGGGCATGTCATTCTAGGCCTCAGTTTCCTCATCTGTAAAATAAGGGGGTTGGACACTCCCAGGTCCTATGATAGGGGTAGACATCAAGGTCACTGGGAAAACTAAAAAGAAGGGATGAGTCAGTAACAGAAAAAGAATTCAATAAAACAAAGTAGCAAGTATTGGAAGCAGAGGATCAGAGGTTCCCAACCTGGATTGCCAGGTAACAGACGTTTGGACTGTTGAGTAAAAAGGGAACTGACCTGAGATTCAGAAGACTGAGAGTTCGTCCCAGCCTCAGAGAAGCTCCCTTGCCCTTCTAGAATTGTCTAGATTCTAGATTGCCTAGTTCGTGTCCTCATTTTACAGATGAGGAAATATCTCAAAATCACAGTCTTAGAAATGGAAGGCACCTATGGCAAATTTGGCACATTCACTTGGGTATTTTGTATTATTCGGGAATGTTGTACAAAGATTATGAGCTAGACTTAAGGGAATCATTTGTGCATAGACATTGGATGAAACTGTAAGAGGGAAAATTTCCTGAAGACCAAGATAGTATAGGAAAAAGGTAGCTCTGAGAAAGATTTTTTTTTTAATGTTGTTAGAGGATCCATTAGCAGCACTGTCAAGAAGGTAGTCTCAGCAGCAGTGAAAGGAATTAATAAGTTGAAGAGGATCTGGGTCTGCTTTCAACTGAGTCTGACTAAAACACCAACAATCTAAAGACAAGGCACACTTGGCTATCAGATTTGTAGTATTAAATACACCAGTAAAAAAGGAGGGAGAGAGCTGATTTTTAAAAACTAATAGCACCAAGAGTTTAGGTGATTTACAATTTAGTCACTAGCTTTTCCTTCTCCCTCCTTGCCCCACAAACTAATGCAGTCTAAGAGTGTAGGAGGTCCCGAATCCCCTTGTTAGAAATGCAAAGGGCAGCTAGATGGCACAGTGGATAGAGCACCAACCCTGCAGTCAGGAGGACCCGAGTTCAAATTCAGCCTCAAACACATGATACTCACTAGCTGTGTGACCTTGGGCAAGTCACTTAACCCCAACAGCCTTGCCAAAAAAAAAAACCTGGAATATGAGAGTTCTAAATAACGCATTTTAAAGAGGAGCTATATAAAGAAAACAGGAAACTCACTGAATTTTTGTTTTTTAAAAAGACAGCAAAAAAGGAAGCTTATGTCTTTGCATAGACAGGTTTGCAATGAGTGATAATTCAATACTTAAGAATCAGTATTTTCATCATTATAGGTGTCCCATCCACCAATGCTGATCACAGCTATGGTCTTCTAGAGATACTGTGGCTGATTCACCTGGTGCAGCTATCCTGGTCTTTAGGCAACAGAAATACCTGGACATATTCTGAGCTCTTATCTGAAATAACTTGCAGTTTGTTAGAAAAGCCTTAGAAAGCCCACTGTTCTTTCCATGCCACAATGAAATATGAGAATAGAACAAAGGTATGTTGGAACCAAAAAAAAATCAAGATTTGTGGGTAGATCAGACATAGAGAAGATGGATCTATTCAACCCTATCAATAAACAACCTGGATTAAGGCTTGGGTGGTAGCACATTAATCAGATCTGCAGACAGAAAAATCCTAGGAGTAGTTAATATGTTAGATGACATACTGAAGCCATAAAATTTAAAAGAGATACGTGTAAAGTCCTTTACTGGGATTTAAATAATCATGTACAGGACAGAAAAGGAACCTGTAGAAAGAGGTAATGAGAGTAATGAGAAGGGATCAGGTGGGAGAAATGTGGATGTAGAAACGGCAGGGATTTGGAACAAGATATATGAGGTGAGGTCCTGAATCTGAAAGACCAAAAAGCTGATGCCTTCAACAGAAATAAGGACATTTTGAAGAAAAGTAGGTTTGGGGAGAAAGCTAATGAGTTCAGTTACATGTCTTTGGGACATCCAATTTAAACGGCTAAGCCATGTTCAAAGTAAAGGAGAAAGTACAGTATGCATCTGAATCATAGTTGAATAATTCTGCCCTCTCTATGTCTGATCTCCCCACAAATCATGGTCCTTTCTTGTTTTTGATCTTCTTGGTTCCAACATACATTTTTTTTTAAAGTCCTTTGCTCTTTTATTCTGATGTTTCATTATGGCATAGAGGACAATGGGCTTACAGGCCATTGCAATGTTGTATCAGTTAAGAGCCTCTGGGTATGTTTCTGAAGACCACAGTTGTGATCAGTCATGCAAATAAAGAAGGATAATTAAATTCCTGGAAGGTAGTTGACATCACAAAGAGAAAGAGACAAGAAAAGGGAACCCAGAACATACCTTAGGAAACACCCACAGCTAGGGAGGTGTGATATAGATAATAAAATAGCCAAGGAGACTGAGAAGCAGTGAGAGGGTAGTCCTGTCCTGAAAACCCATAGAGGTACACTCAGAAGAATGTTGCTCAATGAAAACTGAGAAAAGACATCATTTGGTGACTTGGGTGAAAGTAAAATTTACCATAAGTTATGTAGAGAATTCTGCCAGGATGAGACAGAGTGGATAGCTTATTTTTTAAGAATCTTAGAAAAGTGGTACAAATGGTAGGTAAATAAGAAACAGCTAAGGAGATTAAGTATAGTCTACACTTGTATACTATAGCCTTTTCACAGTATTCAAAACCTTCGCATGAATTATTTAATCCTCACAAAAGTTCTATTTTAAAGATAAAAGAAAATGAAGCTTAATTTACCCAAGATCATAAGTCTGAGTTGGAAAGGACCTCTGTAATAATACTGATGGAGAATGACCCTTGAAAGAAATTGAATGACTTGCCCACAGTCACACAGATATTAAATAGTGGGGCCAGAAATTGAGCCCTGTTCCTCCAAATCCAATTTTTCCATTATATGCTAGGTAATGGAACTACCTAGTCCAAAGTTCTTTTCACTAAATCATTTATTCAAATTATAAAAAAGAGCAGTAGTTAGGGGGAAGGGAATGGACAGGGATTCAAAGTAACTTAAAGATGGAAGACTAGCAAATGTTTGCAGTCAGAAGGCAAGAGGTTAAGGCATCTAAAGGATAAATATGCCCAGTTTATAGATAAAAAAGGAGGGAGGGAGGACTCGACTCTCCTCTCACCACCAGTCACCTCCATCAGCACAGACGTTAGATTTGGGGAAAAGACGAGGGAGAATAAATGGTATGGGGAGGAGTGGCCAGTTTTAGGAATAGTAATCTTTTTCTGAAGAATTGGCAGAAGGCTTTCATCCCTCTCCACCACTGTTTTTTTTTGGGGGGGGGCGCCTCTGATTTCATTGACGGAGGAAACTTCCTCTGCCAACACAAACCTGCCCCGCCCCGGCCGTCTCTCAATCTCAGAGACTTGCCGGTGGCACTAAGAGTTCCCGCTACATGTCCCAGAATCACGTAGCCAGTAAGTTTCCGCAGCAGGATTTGAACCGAGGTCTTTCCAACTCCAAGGCTATGTAACTTTATGGGGTCTGGGGGGCGGGGCTGGAGTCACCCTAAAGGCTTAGATCCCATAGAAGATCCACGTACAAGTTCCATGACAGCGTGACCCAACCCCACGCGTTAGCTGGGGGGCTCGGAGGGAGGTAAACGGGCCTCCACAACTCGAGGGGAGCGGGCCAGGGAAGCAGAGGAAAACGAGCCGCCACCCCCACTCCATGAGTGTTTTTGTTGTCTTCCCCCACAAAAAACTGCGAGTCCCTGCTCCAAGGCTGGGTTCCCGGGCTCTACCCCGCCCCGAGTCCGCTTATACCTTGACGGTCTCCAGGCTGGCCCCTTCCAGCACCACCACGAGCCGCCGGCCCCCGCTTTTGTTCCCCGCTCCGAGGCGGGGTCGTTTGGGCTCCGCGGCATCCCAACCTCGCTCCGGCTCCCGAATGCGCCGTTCACGTGCCGGGAAACCATCACTGGGCGCCGCCATCGTGCAACCGGGCACAGGGTGGGGAATGGCGCAAACCTTACCCAGGATGCCTCTCCAGGAACGGGCGCGGGGAAGCAACGACTTCCGCCCGGACTCCGTGACTTCCGGTTTCCATCTTTGAAGAGGGCACGTGAACCGAGAGAACGATGCCAGGGCTGAGGCGCCATCCCGGGAGACTGGGCCACGGGAAAGAGGGGAGGCAACTTCCGATCACGTGAAGGCGGTCCCCGAAGTTGGTGTCCTCTCCGGAAATAGGGGGAGAGTTTAGGAGGGAGCGCTCTTCCGGTGCCCTTTCTCCTGGGAGGAGCCGAGCAGGTAGCGGAGCCTCGTGTGAGAGGTGCGGATCCCGGGAGAGGCAGCACCGGCCAGGGCCAGGGCCGGGGATTGGGAAGGGCAAGGGGAGGATCAGTCGGCATTCCCGGCCTAGTTCCCCGCCTCGGCGCCAGGGAGCAGACATGGCCCAGAACCTGAAGGACTTCGCGGGGCGGCTGCCCGCCGGGCCCCGAGGCATGGGCACAGCGCTGAAGCTGCTGCTCGGGGCCGGGGCCGTGGCCTACGGAGTCCGGGAGTCCGTGTTCACTGGTGAGAGAGGCGGGAAGGGGCCCCCCACGTGGACGCGTGCCCCGCCCCCCCTGCGCCCCTGATCCCTCCGTCCGAGAGCTTTGACCTGTCCTTGAGGTCCCAGCGCCCCTCCCACCCGTTCCCCCTTAGTCACGTCCCCCAACCCACCCTCCGCTTCCTCGTCCCTAAGTGCCCCCCTCCCATTTTGTATTCTCCCCACTCCCCCCAAACGCACCCACACATTCGCCGCCCCCCCGCCCCCTCACCCCCTTCTCCGGGCCAGGATCCTCCAGTCACCAACTCTCCTGTGAACACCCCCCCCCCCCCCGCCCCAGTCATCCTTCCATCTCTACCGCTGACCGGCCACCCTGGGCTTTTCTTTATTGATGTCTTTCAACCCTCTCCTTCCCCTTGTAGTGGAAGGTGGGCAAAGAGCCATTTTCTTTAACCGAATTGGGGGTGTGCAGCAGGACACTATCCTCGCAGAAGGACTGCATTTCAGGTAAATTGTGGGAACAAGAATACACAATGTAGGATACCTGGATTTTGTTCTTAACCCTGGGCAAAACCACCTGCATTCCATGTTTTCTCTCTCCTTTCTTCCTCTACCCCATCCCCTGAAAAGGATCACACAAGACGTCAGTTACTGTGGCATCTGCATTATCTTATGGATGTTGCCAAGGGGTCCCCCAGGATTTCCCCATTGGACCTTGTTCCTATTTAAGTGCTTATTCAGAGGGCCTGAGGGATTTGAAAACTTCTGTGAAAGGGTTCTGTAGGGATAACGGAGAGGTGTTCATCTCCTTAACCTCCTTTCTGTAGTTCGAGGGGAAAAGATGAGTGGGATTCAGGTGGCTAGAATGGGTGAGGGATGACAGGACCCTCCATGAGCCCCCCATGACCTAGCTTCTTCCCATCACTCCTCACCCCCAGGATCCCCTGGTTCCAGTACCCCATCATCTATGACATTCGTGCCCGGCCCCGCAAGATCTCTTCTCCCACAGGCTCCAAAGGTGGGTCTAAGCACCCGGAGGCAGGGAGGGGAAGGAGGCGGGACCACGAGAGGTTAAAGTGTATGACTTGTACAGGAGAGACCACAGCACAGAAGGTTTCTACACTTTGGACATGAAGGTGGGAGACCTCTTGCATCACACATAAACAATGTAGCACCTGCTGTTAGGCTCTTCCTTCAGTTGCTCAGCCAGCTGACATCTGCCTCCTCATCTCTGCTCTCAGTCACACTTGTTGCCAATCACTAACCCATGCTTCAGGCTCTTTCCGTTCTTTCAGGACTTTGATACCTCTCACCTGGATTGTTATTTTCATAACAAATTTAGAGGTAGACTGATTAACTCATCTTCCCTGTTTCCAGTGTCCTCCCCTTCTTTTAGAGGACACTTCTCTTTTCAGAAACTTTTGTTGGCTCCTGCTTGTCCACAGAATAAACTTTATACTCCCAACCCTAAGGTGAGTGGGTATACCCACTCTGCCTTTCCATTGTGAGTCCTGGACTAGTGGAATTGTAAAGGACCTTAGAAATTACCTAGTACAACCCCTCATTTCAAAAAAACTGAGTGAGGCCCAGGTCATGACATTTGAACTGGGGTCTTCTGATTCCCAGGCCAGTACTCTACTCTAGCATATACTGCTCTCCTTCCCTTCATGTTCTCCAAGCTCTAGACAAAGCTCAAACCATCTACAGGACTCCTCTTCAGATCAGGTTAATTATTAAATTCCAGGAGATCTTTCGCTTCTCTTCTATTCTGTTCTCTTTTCATAGTATCTAGAGGTCTTCTAGTCTAGGCCTGCCTGGACTGATAGCTTTCAAACAAGCCTTCTGCTTCACTTTTCTTCTCAAAGAGGGAAACTCTGGGCTGCTGCTAGAATAACCTTCTGTTGATATAGATCTAGTCGTGCCATTCTTTCCCTCAAGATCGAAGATGCTTCCTAAGAAAGTAGCAAGGCATTGTGGAAACAATACTGGACCTCGACAGATTTAGGTAGGAATGCTTTCTCAGACCCTTAGCTAGTGGAGTGATGCTGGGCCAGTTAGTTACCCCTCTGAACCTCAGTTTCCTCATCCATCAAATGAAGGTAATACTAGCCCCTGCTTTACAAGGTTGTTTTGAGGGTCAAACATTTAAAGTGCTTTGCAAACCTTAAAGCACAATATAAACACTAGCTTTTATTACTCAGTAATAATAAATTCCATTTACAGCCTGCCATAATCTGGCCCCACTAAATCCTTCTAGCCCTTTTTCAGACCCGTATATTATGACATTTCCCACTTCCATAGGTTTGCCTAGACGGGACTCTGAGTCAGCAATGATTTCCCCCCTCGCTTTTCCATTGGAGTTCTAGTCATTCAAAGGCCAGCTCCTTCATCGAGTCATCACTTATATTGTACAGTAATTTTAAAATTTGCAAAGCACTTTCATGTACAAGGCAACTAAGAAACTTAACCAAAGTCATGCAGGTAGTAAGTTTCTAAAGTGAGATTTGGGACCAGTGCTTGAGTTCAAGTCTGTCTGCCTTTCCATTCAGCCTTTTACTCTTTCCTCCTGTCCTCAGTTTTGAAACTATCAGTTTTCTGTGCATAGTAGGTGCTTACTGCTTACTGACTAGAACTGCTTAAGCCATTGCGTGCATTGATTTAGTTTAGTACAGTCAGCATCAACCCTGTGTGAAGTGGTCTGAGGCTTGGAGTGACCTCCCCCATTTCTGCCTGGTGAGATCCTGCACTGTGCTACACAGCAACAGTATGGCCTGTTATGGGTTACTTACATTTGTATCCACATCTTATTTCCTGCCAAGTATTGATAATGGGTGAAAGACCTTGCCTCGGGTGCTGAATGTCTCTCTGTGGAATGAGTAAGGAGGTACTTTCTCCCTTCCCGCCACCCTTTACACTTGCCCACCTTCCAAACTTGGCTTAGAATTCCTTGCATTGAGTTTCACTCCCTAGGTACTTGGGTAATTGGCCACTAGAGCTGAGCTTGTCTGCATATTCTTTAATGCAACTCTCAGGTCTCCTCTGTATATTTAGGGGAAGGAAGGATTCTGTCTCCTCTCTTGATCAAGTAGCTATTACGTTTGATTCAGCAAATGGTTATGAAGTACCTGGGACCAAGTACGAAGCTAGGTGCTGAGAGATTTTGTGCTTCAGGTCCCCAGCATTGCGAGGCACTAAGAGAATACTCGGGGCAGCGTGTTTGAATGAGGAGAGGGGGATCCTCGAGTCCTAACACTTTCTCTTGTTCTCTGCCAAGACCTTCAGATGGTAAACATCTCCCTTCGAGTGCTCTCCCGACCCAATGCCCTGGAGCTCCCCAGCATGTACCAGCGCCTAGGTTTGGACTATGAGGAGCGTGTGTTGCCCTCTATCGTGAATGAGGTGCTCAAGAGTGTCGTGGCCAAGTTTAACGCCTCACAGCTTATTACGCAGCGGGCCCAGGTCTGACCCCTTCTACTTCTGCTTGCCTAAGCTCATCGGTGTTCGTGTTAGGAAAGAGTTGTGGCCAGATTCTTGGTTTTTATACAGAGGCAACTTGGAAACTTCTGAAGCCTTTGGGCAAGTGGGTGGGTTTTCAGTCCCTCTCTGGAAATCGAGGTTTTAGGTTGTTACTGCAATGACCTCTTCTCTTTGTTATCCCTGCTCTACCATTCCTGGGCCTCCCCACCCCAGGTGTCCTTGTTGATCCGGCGGGAGCTGACAGAACGGGCCAAGGACTTTAGCCTCATTCTGGACGATGTGGCCATCACAGAGCTGAGCTTCAGCAGAGAGTACACAGCTGCAGTAGAGGCCAAGCAAGTGGGTGAGTCACATGGGTGAGAGAAGGGGGAATCGGGAGGGGCTGCCCGGTGTGGGGAAGAAGGGCCAGTGATGCCTCTTGTCTGTGGCCCCCCACCGCAGCTCAGCAGGAAGCCCAGAGGGCTCAGTTTCTGGTGGAAAAGGCAAAACAAGAGCAGCGGCAGAAGATCGTACAAGCTGAGGGGGAAGCTGAGGCTGCCAAGATGATATCCCTGCATGTGTTGTGTCCCTAGAGGACCAGTGAGCATCCTCCTCCCTGGCTGGCTGGGTGATGACTCCAAGGCGAATGCGACCTCCGTGCCTTCTGACTCCTGGCTTCCACAGAGGGAGGGGGAGGGAGAGAAGGATTACAGTGAATGGGGGTCTGGAATCTTGGTAGGGGCGCCAGAGGCATGGACCCCTGCTGTAAAGCCAGATCAACAGAATTGCTCAGGCCCTTGGCTCCCCGTGGCTGCCTCTAGGCCCTGGCAGCTACACTGAGCAGGGGCCCACAGGTGGGGTCAGGGCAAAAGCAGAGGCACTGGCTGCGTCTGAGCGCAAACCCCTAGATCTGACAGCTCCAGAGAGGGAGGAACATGAGGCAGGATCGGGACAGTGATGGCAGGCCTGTCTGTTTCTATGGCTCCTTAACTGCCTGTTTACCTCGGGGAAGCTCTGAGCAAGAACCCTGGCTACATCAAACTTCGTAAGATCCGGGCTGCCCAGAACATCTCCAAAACTGTAAGTGTGGAGAGCAGGGGAGGGCAGAGAAAGCTGTGACCTTGGTGAGTGACTCATGCCTTTCCCTTGTCTCCAGATCGCGACGTCTCAGAACCGCATCTATCTCACCGCTGACAACCTTGTGCTGAACTTGCAGGATGAAAGCTTCACTCGGTGAGAGATGCATGCACTTATGCCTAAGCACATCCATCCAGGAACCCTGGAAGGCCGAGTATCAGCATATCCTCATTTCTAATCCTTACTAAGCTCTGGGACCTTGAGCAGAATCCCAACCTTGGTGTCTCATTTAGTGGGAAAATTGGGGTTCCAATCATGATGTGCTTAAAAGTAAGGGGGTGGGGGCCGTCTGGGACAGTGATATCAGATCAACTTTCCCCCAGCAAGATTTGGATCACTGACTTTGGGAGAGGTGACAGGTTAAGACGTTGGGTCCAGGAACTCATGGGTTTCAGTTTCAGGGTCAAGCCTTATGTCTGATCAGCTGTCCTTCACTTTGTTAGGGGAAAGCTGCTGGGTGTGGGGTGGAACATAGTCTGTTTGAGCCTAAAATATGTTAAATTATGTCTTTCTTTATGTTTGCCTCCTCTGTACATGCTACCTTCAGGGGAAGGTAAGTTGTGGCTGTGAATGGGTCTTGTGGGTAAAGGTTCTTTGTGGAAATGGGGATGCAGTGAGAATTGCCTTATAGCTAAAGCTTGTGTACTAAGACTCCAGCATCCCCAGTTTGGGTATGTCCTGAGATTAGCATTACTTCTGCCTTTTTGTGGAAACTGAGTGAGAGGTGTCTTACTGCTCCATGTCTCTGACCATTCTGCCTTCTCTATAGTGACAGCCTTGTCAAGGGCAAGAAATAGAGACCTCCTCCTGACCTCAAGAGAAAGCTGATCTCTTCCTCCATGAGTTAGTCTTGGATGAACCGGCAGATGGGTCCACCTCCCTTGCCCCACCATCATGTGACTTTCCTCCACCACCTGTTCCCCAACTCATTGGATAAATGAAGACTGACAGATGTTCCTTTCCCTAATCCCCCTCCCCATATTTTTGCTGGGGGTCTGGGGTATAAGGACTGTGTGATTTCTCAGTGATTTCCTCTCTAGCTGGTTTTCTTCCAAGGCCGGGAGGAGATAGCAGCTATCCCAGGAATTCTCAATAAATTTTTATTACTAAAGTGGAATCTGGCACAGTTCAGGATCTTCTTGGCTCTCCCCCCACCCCACCCCCTTGCTGGGAGCAGGGCTGGTCAGATGCACATCTTCTGGTTCACCAGCAGGGGGTGCAAAGAGTTCAGCCCAGGCTTAGTGATGTGGCAAGGTGGGGACCCCGGCCCGGCTAAGGGCAGCTGAAGTCAGCACCAGGAGTAAAAGGGGGCTAGGTGTGAGGGTAAGGCCTGAGCACAGAGGAGCATTAGCCCAGCTCCTGGTTTGGGAGCTCTAACCAGCAGCTATTCCACAGCTTTCTTAAGACATGAGCAGCTGCAGCTTTGCTGAACCCCGCCAGTTCAGCCATATCATTTGCCGGCTATTGTCCTAATCTCCACATGTTACCTGAAACCTATATGGTTCAATGGGGAGAAGGCCAGGCACACTGCCTGCCTAAGACTGGTCACAAAGTTATTTCTCTGAGCCCATTTCCTAATCCGTGAGATTTGGAGATAAAATATGTTGGCTTCATTAGAATTATGTGGATTAAATGAAATATATATATAGAAAATGATAAAAACTTGTACTTTGGGAAATGGCACTTATCCTAAAATAATTGCCCACACATCTCTGCTGAGCCCAGCTAAAGCACAATGTATGGTTTCTGCCTTCCTTGGCACTTTAGGACAAATCAAAGATTTGCAAACCTTTTCCTCATGGTGGCCCCACAGAGTAGCAGAAGTATCCTTTCCATTTTGCAGCTGAAGAAATGGGCTCTGCCTAGCACATGGTAGATAATAAATACCTGATTTTTAAGAGGGGAAAAGCCATTTATGTGAAATTAAAATGGGGCATTAATGCTTAAAACCGAGGTATCTGCCTGAGCCTGGGGTTCCGCTACACTAGGTGGTTGGTGTGCTACTTTTCCTTAAAGTGCAGGAACTTTTGAGCCCAAGCATTTATCCAAGTACTTTGTGGAGTCCTTGGCTCTTTTAAAAGCTATAAGGAATGTCTCTGCTTGGTTACACAGTTTTGAGTTCTTTCCCCATGGATACAAGACTTCATATTCAGAAGGGACATATATCATCCCTCTTCAAATGTTGTTCAAACATAGATCTGGCCTCAATTATTGTTTACCTTTAGCATAGTATTGGCATTCGCTGACCTGGTCCTCCGCATACCCGTCCAAGCTTCCAGAAAGTACAATAACTCATCTTGGGCAACAGCCTTATATTGTTTATATCTCAGTGTTTGAATTCATCTAGTTAACCTGAACTAGTCCCTGCCAATTTAAGATTTTTGTGGCCTTTTGGGGAATGTCCTCTACAACCTAACTGTTGATGTCCAGTGAATCTGATTGAGTCTCGCCTTCAAGGACTGGTTACCTGTATTTCTTGAGAGAAAATACTTGCAAAAATGAAGCTAGATATTCTAGAGAAATTAAAATTGGCACAGTTAATTTCTAAATACTACAAAGAACCCCAACCTTAGACATTTACTGCCCGTATCCCATTGTCCCGCTTTTGCCTTTTTTTTTTTTTAATTCTTTACCCCCACAAAGCATGGAGGATCCTTTGATTAAAGGGACACATACAGGGGAGGGCTGCATGAATTCTAACCGAAGATGGAGGCAAAGTCCTGCCCCACCCTCTGAGCAGCCATCTTGTCTCTTTTCCAAGGCTGGTCCAAACAGCCCCACAGTCAGTCGAGACCTGGAGCAGTACCCCAACCCCTATCTATCTCCTAATACTCTGCTGAAGGATGAAAGGTCAGAGCTTACGAATAGGGACCTCAGTGGATACCAGACCTCCCTGAAGATCACCAGGGTCAAAAGTCATCGAAGGGAGAACCAACCCGGAGGGCATCTTTACCAGACAGTGTTAGAAGCTTCATGATCACACGATCCAACACTGCACTGGAAGATGGCCCCAGAGCTGGCCAGCTGGGCACATCCAGGGCCAGAGCTGACCAATCACACAGGGATCTCTAATCACTCTGTAGTTAGTTAGGGGTGTCCAGGAAGAAGACCTAAAGCAAATCACAAACACCAAGCCTAGAGAGTTCCTGGTCAGTCGTGGGTTGTAGAGTCAGGTCTACCAATCACAGACTTCAGAGGGAAAGCTGACCAATCAGAAGAGGGCAGTAGAAGCGTTGCTGTCCCACTGTGTCACCTCTATAACCAGCCAATCTTCCCTTCAGATCAGAAACCAAAAGGAAAAACCTGTGCCCATATTGGGGTTGTGGAAAGAGGGTGTTGACATCCTGTTCCTAGGCTTAGGGCCTGTGGCAATGGCTATTTGGAGGCGTCATTAGGAAAGGACCTCCATCATTACCCGGCAGTATTAGAGACTCCCAACCAGCACCCAAACACTGCTGGGTAAGACGGGGCACCAGTCCCAGCCTGCCCAAGATGAGGGACAGTTACTATGAAGGTGGGGCCACCAGTCCTGGGTAAGAGACAGTTACGGTTAAGCGTGGGCAGCAAGATAGAGGAAGAAGGCCCGTGACCCAAAGCTGTGCTGGCATCCAGCAGCCCTTCTAAATACCCCCTGCTGGAAAGAGGCCAAGGAACAGCCTTCTCTTAAAATTAACACACCATTTGGGGCACCCGGGGGGTACTCACTGGGCTCAGTTAATGCCTAGTAGGATCTTCCCCCCAACCCCACTCAGCACCCTCCAAGATGTAGGAAAAGCTGAACTGCTGAAGGCCCAGGCGGGAGTCAGAGGAGTCACTTAACATCCTCTTCCACCATCCACAAACCCCAGTCCTGTCCCACAATCTTTTCTACTTCTTCCCCAAGGCCTGAGGCCTGTTCCCACTGTAAGCTCCATTCTCCTCACCCACCATTTTCAGACCTCCATCAGCCTGCCCTTCCTCTTCGGCCAGTCAGTACTCTGCACTGCCCCTCCTTTACCTACCTGCCTCCGGACCCCTGATTGCCCTGACTTCAGGGGTCAAGATGGGATGGTAGAGGACGACTGGTGCTCCTGTGTCCATAGGCCTAACACCAGGGCCTCTACCTTGCCTCCTCCCTCCCCCTTCCCCCCCATCTCACCTGGGCCACGCCTGCAAAGGGTTGCCACACAGGTGTGTCCTCCTGCCATAGGCTGGCTCTCCCCACCCGCACCGCCACTCTCTTAACCCTTTCCCTTCCCAGTTTCCTTTTCTCCCTCCCCTTTCTTTTATTCTCCGCCCCACCTCCCACTTAGCTTCCCCCAGCTCATTTCCCAAACACTTTAAAAGGACCAGAGTCTGGTTTTTACCTGCCTTATTGATATAGGCCCTCACCATCTCATATCTGTACTATTGCATTGGCCTTCTGGTCAGTCTCCCTGACTAAAATCTCTCCCCACTCCCATCCGTCAGCCACTGAAGCGATCTTCCTAAAACATAGGTCGTGCCACCCCCGATTCATCAGATTCCAGTGGTTCCCTATTACCGCCAAGATCAAATATAAAATCTCACACACACATACACACACACACACACACACGTATATATATAAAATCAAATATAAAATTTTGAAGTCCTTCACAACCTCTCCTTCCTACTTTCAAATCTTCTTAGACTTTGCTGTCCTCCATGCCCTAGTGATGACTGGCTTACTGTTCTACACACAGGACACTTTGTCGCCTGACTCCGTGATTTTCAGTGACAGTCCCCCATGCCTAAACTGTTCTCCTTCCTTGTCTCTGCCTCCTGGCTTCCTTCAACATTCAGCTCAAATCCCACCTTCCACAAGAGGTCTTGCTCAGTCTTCCTCTCCCCCACCAGCCATCCTCCCCTCTGAGATTACCTTCAATTTCCCCTGTACAGATCTTGTAAGTACCTAATTGTTTACCTGTTGTCTCAAATATTAGAATATAAGCCCCTTTGTTTCCCTGGCACATAGTAAGAGCTAAATACATGTTTGTTGACTATTTTGTACACAGTATTCCTTCCAAGGCTGTTGAATGAATAAGTGGACAGGATCAGGTCAATGCTGCTGGCAACCATGAGGCCACAATGTTGGGTTTAACCCAGCCATTTGCAGATGCTTAACATTAGGCTGGACACTTGGGACACAGATAATAATATTCCCTGCACTCTAATAGTTGTATTCTAGTTGAGGTTCCATGGCCCTATATGCACAGGTAGGTATACAGATGTGTGTTTTTGCCTGCCTCTGTTTCCTCCTCAGGCTCTCTGGATGTGTCCATCTGCACAAATCTTCTTCCTCACGTCCCCCAAATATATACTCCATTTCAGTCACAGTTCTGAGCTAAAAACAAAAACCAAACTGGTTCCTTCTTGCATTTGTTATTGGGAGGAGGGGTGGAAAAGAAGGCAAATGAAGATGGAAGCTAAGAAAGGTATCAATCGATTAATAAACATTTATTAAGTGCCAGGCCATGCTCAATAATGGGGATACAAAAAGAGACAAAAGACATCCCCTGCCCTCAAGGAGCTAACAATCTAAAGGGAGAGACAATATGCATATGAATGTATGCAAAGCAAGCTATATGCAGGATAAATAGGAAGTAATTAACACAAAGAAGGCCCTAGAATTTTGAGGGGTTGGGGAAAAGTAAAAATAAGGGATTTTATTTGTGACTTAAAGGAAGCAAGGAGACTAGTAGGTAAAGTTTTTTTGAAGGTAGAAGTTTATGGGGAAACCCTATTACATACACAATTAATTCTTCAATATGGACTTTTCTTCTTTGTGGGAACCCAGAGCCCCAGAAGTTTGGAATATGACAGAACAGAATTTATGGGATATCCCACCCAAAGCAAGACTACTCCGATACACAGTCTCTCTCTCTCTCTCTCTCTCTCTCTCTCTCTCTCTCTCTCTCTCTCTCTCTCTCTCTCTCTCTCTCCCCCTCCTTTCTGATACCTCTCCCTCTCCCTCTCTTTCTCCCTCTCCTGCTCTCTGTCTCCCTCTCCCTCCCTCTCCCCCCTCTTCTTCCTCTCTCCACCTCCCTCCCCATTTCCCCTCCCCTCTCCCCCCCCCCCCGAAAGAACTGCAGAGACTGTCCTGCCCTAAGTGCCCAC